AAGTTGATACGACAGATAGAATGGGTGACCGTTTTCGATCGAATTCAGTCCATTTTTAATGGAGTACCAAGCGCAGTAAAAGGAATGTTAGCTAACGGTTGCTACGACACAGATGCTAGCTACGGATCACTCTCAACTTTAGGGACTTAATTACAAGTGTTGTCAAACTATTATGGTGACTGCATGTCGCACTTCTTTGAACATAATGTCCATGCTTGCTTAGCCTGCAGACATTACCTTTCCATACTCATTGTGTAGTTTACTGTATAGCCACCTAGCTACTTATTCAGTCATTCATATTTAAAGACTTGTATAAATGAAGGTGAAGACTAAATTCCGAAATATAGTTAATGGCTATCATTTCACTGCAGTAGTTTCATGGAGTTGAGGCAGAAACTCTTGGGGGTTTTCTAGAACAGCCTTGATATAGTGCCAGGCTGTTCTCATCATTAATATTATGCTATGTCGTGATAATACCCACATTATTGCAGCGACTGCCCCAATCCAGCGGTCAGTCGCATTACTCCTTGACTCCTCTCCTCCCTGCAGGCCACTTGTTTCCCCCTCATCTGATGGGGCCAGGCTGTCCTTTTCCCGGGGAGGACCACGGCCTCAGCACAGGTGGTGCTGGAGGTAATCTTCGTCCCACCCACTTCACACTTCAATACAAACCGATGTGCGTTTGGAGGCCGCGGCATATCGGGGTGAAAAGGATGGCACTGTCCACAAACAGCAATGATGACCCCCTTCATCCCTGATTCAGACGCACTCCAGATCTCACGTCTGCGCCGATATTCTGTCCGTAAATCGCACAAACAGCAGAGAAGACACAGTGCCCTCCGAATACCGAGAATGAGAAACACAGCTGTCGCTGGCTAGCAGTAGCGAGCCCAGTGCCCCATATTCCCTCAGCACCTCCCACAAAATGCCTCTGGGAACAGGATCATAAGCCTTCTGTAAATCCACAAAACACATGTTGGCTGGATAATCTGGCTTCCATTCCCCCCTCAAGCATCTGTGAGAGTAAATTCTGATCGACTGTTGAATGACCGGGATGAAGCCAGCAGTACTTCTCCTGAATCTGAGGTTGAATCCTGCTCTCCTTTAGAGCACTAGGGCACTGGCTTTCGCAGGCAAACTGGGAAGTTTGATTCCCTGGTAAATCAGACTCACAGTGTGGTCTACAATTGTTAACAAGGAGCCCATCCTTAGATTAGAAATAATATTTGACCAAGTCACTCTGATTTCACTCAGAAACTTTCCCCTAGTTTGGTGAAAAGTTTCACAGCACGTCGTCACCAAGTTTGGACACGGAGATTACACACTACAGGCATAGTCCGAGTCATCCACAAAGCAATTCACACGCAGAGGCATAACCTGCCCCTCATTTGTCAACAAAGTACGTCCTTATGGTCCACACTAGCTGAATAAATTGGCAGAGGAGGGGAAATTAGACAAAAAAGACTCGTGTTGACTGTACGTTTACCTGTGACAAAGGATATTCACTGAAATGTTTTGTATTGAAGGGGACCTATGTTAGTGACCAAAAACAGTGACCAAATGGGGTTTTCACTGACTGCAGGGTGGTGACGCTTGTGCTGAGTTCACATTGATCACGAGAAAGACCAGGAGTCGTTAAAGTGGACAATCAAAGCAAGTAAAACCAGTCTCGAACAGAAAAAAACGTTGAGGATGTCAGAGGCGGGTGAAACTAGGCCAACTGACATCGCAAACCTGAGTTTTACAAAAAAGTATAAGAAAAAGATACATACGGTACATAGCTTTGGTAAAATTAGCTATGAATACACACAAGCTGACAAACACACCAGCAGACAGACAGACGGGCACCTCGAATAGGACTGATACACTACTCAGGCAGGGCCTCACACAATTTAATGAAATCAGCTGACGGTAAACATCTGAGCAACAACAAAAAACTATTAAGAAATAATCTGTTTCCCAAAAAAGGCCCAAACAGCTGGCTTCATCAAGACGTGTTTTAGCAATTCCTTCATAACTATTTACATTCTTGGCATTTATAATTTAACGACACGCATTATTTCTGATTAGCAGGCGCTTGCTGGCAGTATAGACCGTGCACATCTTGATTTGGTTAATATTAATGCACGGCTGACGGGAGTAAAGAAAAATGTAGGAAAAACAAAGATAGAAATCTTGGAGCCCACACACACTCCCCCGCACACGCACACACAAACAGCTGCATATACACAGAGGCGCCAACACATACATACACGCTAACTCGCAACCAGGTGTTCTTGCGTCTAAATCACTGCATGGCAAAGTTTTTATACTGTCATACGCAATGAAATTCCAAAATGACAACAAGGACTTAACAAGGACTTAATTATTTTCACCAATGTAGACACCAATGATGCTTTCCCTATCCATTTAACCCTTAGAGCGCTAAATGCAGCTATTGTTGCTCAATGATGTAAGATATCAAAATCAAAGCTGTTGAATACCTATCACGTGGCGACTTGTTTAAAAGAGCTCTCTTGTAAACAAGTCACCACATGATAGGTTTTCTACAACTCAAGATAATTTATACTTTTTAGCCTTTATTTCAGCGTTCTAAGGGTTAAATTGGGCCATATTATAAGACTTTACTCTCCATTTTGTGTACAGTTAACAGTCATCTGTGTGAACACAGTAAGCACACAGCAGTGCCAACGCGAAATGCACAGTCGAGGTCTTAAGTCCAGATAGTGCTGCTAGAACAGCACAGATTATTGACAATTACAAAACTAACAGAATACCTGTATATTAGAAGAAGTTAAACACAGGGAGCCAATCATGAAAATGTAAAAATAACATAAGCATTGGAGAAAGAATATTTTCATAGGTCTTCAATAAACAGATTTGCTTGTCTCTCTGAGATTTTGGCAACACTCCCTCTTTCAGTTAGTGCACATGTATGGCTGTGTGAGTCGTCCTTAAACCACAGTATAAAATCTCAGCAAAAACTTCCTTAACCTCTCCTTCATTAAAACAATGCATCTCCTGTGATCTGATAGGCATGGCAAAGGCATTCATAAACGTCATGAACTGAAAAGCATCTGCTGACGCAGTAGTAATTGTCGTCAATATTGCAATTTTGTCTATAATTACGCTGTCCTAATGAAACCATAATGAAATTTTCATAAAGGGCCATTCAAAAGAAAGTGTTATGAAAATATCTCTGTGAAAATATAATAATATGCTTGCATATATATATATATATATATAGGCTTTTTGTAGGAGGTAAATGAGCTTTATAAAAAGGCACGGTGGGAGGTATTTGGCTCAGTATGCAGTGTACCGGGATGAGAGCATTTATGTGTGTTACAGTTCAGCTGCTCCTCAGCCGCCACTGGCCATGTTGGACGTGGTTCAAGCTGGAGGGAGGGACCGCCTCTAGCGTCCCTTCAGGAGGGGCAGGCTTTGGTGTCCTACTGCCACCTTCTACACAAACTGATGGTAGAGGCAGAGCTGCAGAACCGTTTGACATAAGCAGCAAGAAATCTGATTTCTGGCCTCCCATGACAGTCTCTGTCTGGTACTTGGAAAAATTCCAGACGTCCTGCCAAAAATTCCCAGGCGAACGACTTCGAGACTCAACAGGAGGAGAGAAATCCACTGAGGGCTTTGTGTTTTTGTGCAAGTCGCTTGGTCCCACAGTCTCCACCAGAGGGCGCTCTCTCAGGAGCTCCTATGGTCAGGTGTTAAACAGGTCCTCCTCCTCTTGGCCTGACCCCCATTCCCCGAGCTCCACCTCCCCGTTGGAACTGGATGGGGTCTCCATGGAGATGCTGCGCCTCTTTCCAAACACCTGCTCCTGCAGCTCGATGATGTCGTTGCGAAATTCAGCCATCATCAGCAATAGAAAGTCAAAAGAGCCGGGAGGTCCCTGGGGAGAGAGGAAGTGGGAATGAAGACCAGAGGAGGAGTGCTGGGGGCCGTAGGCATGAACTGGGATGTGCGGCGATGAGACTTACTGCTGGTCCTCTCGGTCCAGGAGCTCCCCTGTCCCCCTGCAGGACACAGACATGCACAGGTAAGAAGACATACACACAGAGACATATCCCCTGTCCTCCTGCAGGGCACAGACATGCACAGATAAGAAGACATACACACAGAGACATATCCCCTGTCCCCCTGCAGGACACAGACATGCACAGGTAAGAAGACATACACACAGAGACATATCCCCTGTCCCCCTGCAGGACACAGACATGCACAGGTAAGAAGACATACACACAGAGACATATCCCCTGTCCTCCTGCAGGGCACAGACATGCACAGATAAGAAGACATACACACAGAGACATATCCCTGTCCCAGACATGCACAGGAAGACATACACACAGAGAGACATGCTGCAGGGACAGAAGACATACACACAGAGACATATCCCTGTCCCCTGCAGGACACAGACATGCACACAGACATACACACAGGACATATCCCCTGTCCCCTGCAGGACACAGACATACACACAGAGACATATCCCCTGTCCCCCTGCAGGGCACAGACATGCACAGATAAGAAGACATACACACAGAGACATATCCCCTATCCCCCTGCAGGACACAGACATGCACAGGTAAGAAGACATACACACAGAGACATATCCCCTGTCCCCCTGCAGGGACAGACATGCACAGGTAAGAAGACATACACACAGAGACATATTTTTTTTCATTTGTTTTTCTTTTTTTAAAAATTAAATTTTACATCTGGAAACAAGGTAAGGTATACTTTATTGAACCCCGTAGGGTAATTTGTCCTCTGCATTTAACCCATCCTATAGTTAGGAGCAGTGGGCAGTCAAAGAGTAGCACATGGGGACCAACTCCAGTTCTAAAGCCAGTTCCTTGGTCAGGGGTACTGGCAGGATTGTTCCTGTAATGCATGTTTTTCTGGGGTGGGGAAACTGGAGTACCCAAAGGAAATCCATGCAAACACAGGGAGAACGTGCAAACTCCATGCAGGGAGGCCCTGGCCAGCCGGGGCTCAAACCTGGAACCTCCTTATTGAGAAGAAGCAGTGCTAACCACTGTGCCCCCCTGGCGAATCTGAAATCAGTTTGCGACTCTCCTCTCCTCTCCTGTCCCCTGCCACCTCTTAACACTTGCAGCTTGAAGCCTTGCAAGCTCGGAACGAGGCCAGAGGAAACCCGAACAAGTGCTTGCTTAGGATTTGACTGATGAACGCCCGGATGGGCAGCAGGAGGCGCTTAAGCAACAAACAATGCAAACCCAAACTGACTGATGCCCTCCCGTGTCCCTGAGCAGCCCAAACCCATTATGCACTGCTCTAAAAAGGTTGCGGGCCACAGTCAGCACTGGCACAGTGTGGATTCGATCCTCTGCTGTGATGGTCACTCCTGCACCGCAGTGCAGTGCTGAGCCAACCCAGCAACTACACACATGCTTTCTATAACTTTCATGTAACCACAACATTTCAAACATTTCATACAAATGAGAACATTATAGCCATTGAGGACATTTCTCTCTCTGAATGGCATGCGGGAAGAAATGCCCAATTGCATAAAGGAAGAGCATGAAGCAGTTTTTGTGGTTGAATGCCAGATTGCCTATATTCGCTGGTTGGGAAAGGGAGCCACAGTTTTGGGGGGTTTAAGATCCCAGCGGCTGAGTTCTTCCCGACTGCATCTCTCGAGATACGAGTCAGAGTCCCAAGCCCCACGGAGGTGCTCAAACCAGCATCCCTACGGCTGTCAGTAAAGGAAGCTACTGCCCGTCTCCCCAGCTGCTCATGTGAGTCTTTACCTGAGACCTTACTGGAGGGCACTGAGCATATTTTATGGGGGCTGACCTTCGCCCAATCACATGCATACCGTTCATACAAACGGATATGTATACCATCACACACGTGTGCACGCAAGTACATCCATCCATCCATTTGTTATCAAATCCACTTATTCCTGGTTAGCGTCACAGCAGGGCTGGAGCCAACTGAAGCATCCAATAGGTGTGAGACAGGAACATACTCTGGAGAGTTCACCAATCATTCACAGGGCACTCCCACCATTAACCAATACACTCACACCAATGGGTTATTTAGACCATCCCATTTTCCTAACAGAAAGATATGGAGGTCTTTGGACTGTAGGAAGAAACCAGATAGCCCAGAGAGAACCCAAGGGAACATGGGCAGACCCTGATCTAATGCATCCTCACACAAATGCAAAACATCCACATTTGCACACAGAGCGCAAGGTCATGCACGTTACCTTCAGTCCGTCTCTTCCTGGGGCACCCGGTGGTCCCTGGTGGGGTCACACAAAAATACATCCAGGAGTCAAACACATGCAAATGGTCTTGAAATTTAAGCATCCAAATATCCTCTTTTTACCCTTAGAGCCTGATTTACAAAGACCTTTAGCACATGCAAAATCTGTTTGCCCGTGCAAAACCAGAAACCTTGCCACTGATTGGTGCAAGGCAAGTACCCTGGCCAATCATGGGCGATGTTATTGGTTTTGCACGAGCAAAAAGATTTTGCATGTGCTAAAGGTCTTAGTAAATCAGGCCCTTAGAGCGCTGAAATAAATTTTCAAAAAATTACACGTTAAATTATCTTGTGCTGTTGAAAACCTATCATGTGGCAACTTGTTTAAAAGAGCTCCCCTGCAGGAGCTCTTTTAAACAAGTCGCCACATGATAGGTTTTCAGCAGCTTTGAATTTGAAATCTTACATCATTGAGCAACACTGTGTATTTAGTGCTCTAGGGGTTAGTATGGTAAATATCCTAAGTTTTAGTGGACGGAATGTGGAAAGGTTTGTTGAACTGAATGGCCTGTTGCCATAGCTATGTTATGTTATGAACACTGCAGCTCAAACGTTTGGAATCACTGGTGATTTTTGCATGGATTGAATGGGGAAAAAACTTCTGCAACCCAAAACATAAATCCGAATTCTGCAAGGCCTGTCTAGAAAGGAAATGGCAAAATAGGCCTATACAATTCCCAGCTCAATTGCCAGATTTAAACCCAAAAGGTCTGTTGTGGGATTGAAGTGCGCCCATCTTCAACGACTCACCTATGGAAAATACTGCAGTCCACATAGACATCATTTGAGAAATACAGTCTTACTCATATCCAGAATGCCAAAAATTTACATCTCACGGGGGATATTTTTATGAGGAATCACTAAAATCATTAAATCATTTGTTTCACAAAAATCTTATAAAAACTTATTTTTCCGCCTGATACTTGAAAAACTGCACAAAACCTCGTAAAATACATTATGGTGCTTGTTTCATGTAATTTATGATTATGCAAAAACTTATACTGCATAAAACAGCAGGGCCTACATATATGCCAAGTGACTCCAAACTGCGAGTGGAAACGTGTATACAGCCAATTACTACTCCTTAAAAAAGCCAGTTGCGGGCTAAGCTGAGTAGCCTGCAGCAGCACGAATGTGTGTGCACTCACCACTGGGCCCCTGCGGCCCCTCTTGATGTGACTGAGGTCTGGCTCCGGCCCCATGGGACCCATATCTCCTCGAGGCCCCTGTGGGCCGGGAGGGCCCCTCGGTCCGGGCTCCCCTCGCTCGCCTGGCTCTCCACGCAGTCCTGCAAAACAATGTAAAAGAATGCCACATATTCTGTGTTCTTACAATCCCATTTCCCAAAAAGTTGGGAGGATATGGGAAATGCAAATAACAAAAGAAAACAGATTTGTAAATCATCCTTGACCGGTATTAAATTGTTATTTAATGCTTTTCCTGCTCTAGTCCATTATTCTTTTGGAAATAAACACGCATTCCAAATTTTATGCCTGCAGCATGTTCAAGAAAAGTTGGAACAAGGGCTTGTTTATCACTGTGTTGCATCACCTTTCCTTTTAGCAGTCGTCCAAGTACTCATTTGGAGATCTTAGGAAAAAATTTGTTTCAGTTTTGAAGGATGCTTGATATGTCTTCAGCTGTACAGACATCCGGGATCTTCATTGTCATGGTTTGTGCTTCTTTAAGCAGTATGTATTTTCAATGGGATACAGGTTTGGACTGCAGGTAGGCCAGTCTAGCACAGGGCCGGATGCAGCCTGCTTACACTGGTGGTGCAGTGAGAATTGCTGGGGGGGAGAGACGTTTTCATTTTGTTGCCCAGGGGTGGGGGTGTTGGGGGGGGGAGAGAAACGCGTTTCATTTTGTTGCGCTGAAGTATACGTCACTAAAGTCAGGAGGCGCTGGGGGGGCGCGGTAAGGCGTAGCCCACCCCTGCACCCCCTGGATCAGGCCATGGTCTAGCAGCCACTTCCTCTGATTAGTAAGCCACACTGTTGTTACACATGGAATTCAGCTTGCTAATGTCTTGTACAATTAGCAGGAATGTCCATAAAAATATATCATGAAGAAGACAGCATATTTTGCTCCAAAATGCATAAATGTCTTCAGCATTGATGGCACCTATATAGATGTTCAAGTTGCCAGTGCTATGAGCACTAACACACCCTCATATAACAACCAGGTTGGACTTTTTCCTTAATGTAAAAGGTAAGCCATAGAATATTTTGTTTTGCACTGCTTTCAATTTAATGCAGGTCAAAGATGATTGACAAATCACAGCTTTCCTTTTTCCTCTCAAATTTTCTACAACATCCCAACATCCCCCGGAAATAAGTTTGTACTCTGTGATACTGAATTGCACTTCATAGTCGGCAAATGGCTCAACAATATAAAAGTACATTTGTGATGGAAAGATACGAGTATTGACAGCAGATAACTGAGACGGAGTCTGTCAGTGCCAGCACCTGAGCAATCATAGAGGTGGAAGGGAAGAGGTTGTCAGCACCAGGTGTGTTTACCTAGAGAGCCTGGGGGTCCTGGAGGACCCGGCGGGCCTGGTGGAGCAGAGGAGTCAGAACTTTTTCCTCCCCACCCCAGCGATGGTTTGTCACTACTGTTGGCAAGGCCAGGAGAGAGAACCTGTCAATCACACAGGCACACAAACAGGCCCAAAAGCACATTAATCCTCTATTACAGGCTGGTTCTCTGCTGTCCCCATGATATCTCCCTTCCCCAGATGAACAATCTTAGCATGACAGAATGGTGAGGACAGGCCATGCAGCCGAGCAAAGGTTGCCATTTTCCTACCCCTAAAGTGTACTGACTTGGGGCGTAGCGAGGCTGAACCACTGACTTCTCAAGCCGTTTTCCCAGAAGCATTTCAGTGGCCTCTGATGTTTGGTTACGACCATTTCAGGTATGAATATACGTTTCAAGAAGAAATGGCGCGCTATTGCCAGTGCCCTATGGTGGCAGTTGGTCTTATTACGCTTTAAAAGAAAAACTGCGATTCAACATTGTCACAATCCCAGTACCAAGCACTCAGAACAGCAATATCAAGCACTGTGTATTTAACTTGGTCTTGAAAATACCCACAATTTCGACCCCTACTACATGAGCCATGAGCACATCCACACATTGAGTCTACAGGAGCCCATCCAACCCCCAACGCCCTAACATCCCAGCCCAAGGAAAGGAGCTCACCAGCTCTTGAGTCATCTTAAGTTATCTTAAAGTTGGTTTGGTTATCTTTGGTTATTATTGACAGCTCATACCACACAAATCCCAAAACAAATTGAATCACTGATTATAATAAACTACAGTCATCATATTCTTTTGTAGTGGTTAAATACTTCATGCTCACCAGGAAATCTTCAGTTCACTTAATGAGATGTCATCTCCTGCTCCTTAGCCTAGGTCCTGACTGTCAGTTATCCTCGTATACTACAGCAAAGGCGTACCATCCAGGCGAATCTCAGTTACACTAAATTATCACCACCTCACTGTACACAGGTGTGTTGTGTCATACATCCTCTCAAGAGATAAAAAATAGGACGATGGGTCCTGTAGCTTACCGGCAAGCAATCTTATAGTGATGATACAAGATATGACAATCATTGAAGATCAATGTCAAGGTCACTAAATAAAAGTTCACATACATTTTTATAAGACCCCCTAAAATACCCAATCCTAAGCTCTGAAGCAGTTTTGGTAATACAAGTCATTGAAAATTCAATATGGCAATTGTGAACT